GGTCTGGGTCTGCCGAGGCCCTTTGTCCACTGTCTCTGCTAAGCACAAACATTCCTGCCCCATTGGCTGCCCTTCCAGGCCATTCTCCGGTCACAGGCAGAGGCGTAATCCTCTGCCCAGCCCAGCCTCAGGGACCGATGAGTCAACACCAGTGGGATCTGGACACCCCCCTCCTCCACCCAGCCCTGGATTCCCACTCCACCCTTGACCCCAGCCCAGTCCATCCTGCTCCACTGCAAGGGCCCCAACAGATGGGGAGTAGAAAGGAAGGGTTTACTGATCACGTTTTTAGTGTTTGGTAGTATCTCACTCTTTGTTTGGAAGTGTGAGTGACTCATAGCACTTGACAAGGTTTATGTATTTATTACAGAAACAATATTTTCACAGAAATTAAAAAAATAAAATACAATTGCAGAGCCTTAAAAAAAATTAACCATTGGAATGTATACAACTCAGTGGCTTTGAGTGCATCCCCAGTGTTTCTGACCCACCCCCTCTCTCCAGTTCCAGGTCGTGTTCAGCACCCTAGGGCTTGTTTCGAGGATTACACGTGCTAATGTCTGCAAAGCCCTCACAGTGGGGCCTGGCACAGTAAGTACCTATGAGTATGCACTAAATGGCAGGAGTAAATAGTAAGAGAGCGGTGCTCATAATAGGTCACACAAGGTAGGTGGTGGTGGTTATTATTAATTCGAATCCCCAGGGCTGGAGGTGGAGGGTGCTAGGTCTCCTCCCTCTCCCCGGGCCCCGTCTTCAGCTGACAGATCGCCTTCCTCCACCCTCCTTTGTCCTCCTCAAGGCTGGCGGGTAGGGGAGGTGCTGATGGTAGCGAGGAAACCTGGTCCCCCCAGTCTCAGGGCTTCTCTAGACCCTACTCCCCAATCTCCCACACCCGCTCCTGCTCCGCCAAGCATAACAAGGAGACACGTGTGGGGTGGGGGTGCAGCAGCCAGGAGGATTCTGCTTGGGTGGGAGACAGTGATGGCGAGCGAGGAGCAGCCACACACCCGCATTCCAGATGAGCTGAGACTTATGAGCAGACCCTCCACCCAGGCATCCTGGGATCCCCGAGACTTGGAAAGACCTACCTCCCCATAGCTGTCAGCCAGCCTTGTCCAGATTTGGAGAGCTTGTTAAAAAAGGCAGAGTTCCAGGCTCTTCTGGGTGGGGCCTGGGAATCTGCATTTTAACATGCGCTCTCGGGGAGTCTTCAACCCAACCCATTGCCAGTGAGTCGATTCTGACTCTTGGAGATCCTATAGGATGGAGTAGAACTGCCCCATAGGGTTTCTGAGGCTGTAAATCTTTACAGGAGCAGACTGCCACATCTTTCTCCCTTTGAGCGGCCGGTGGGTTCTGACTGCTGGCCTTTCGGTTACTAGCCAAGCGCTTTAACCACTGTGCCACCAGGGCTCCTCTGGGGAGCTTTAGGAGCTGGAAAGTTTGGGACAGACTGCCTGGCCCCGTCCTTCCAGGTATAAACATCCCCCTGTGGTTGCTTTGTGCCAACTTGATGCCTTCGTGCTGGTAATAACAGTGAGTGACGTTAATGCTTACTACTGCCAGGCACTGATGGCCAGGTGGAGGAAGAGGAGTTTGCTTGATAAGCTGGGGCTGGGACAAATGTCCCTGGACCCCACCTCCACCCTCAATTCCCTTTTTGGAGACTCCCAGGAGCCACTGGCTGTCCTTTGCCGCCACCTTGTGGCAGGAGGGAACTGTGCACGCCATTTTCATTTCTAATGATTTTAAATCAAGAAAATGTCCTGAACTCCTACTGTGTACCAGGCCCCCATTAGGAGCCTGCGGATAGATGACTAAGACAGACACACTCCCTGCCCTCATGGAGCTCACGGTGTCTGGGGAGAGACAGTCGGTAACGCACGAACAAATGAATAAATACAATAATTACCGAGCGCCATACACACCAAACCAACCAACCTACTGCCGTCGAGTGGGAATCGACTTGATTCTGACTCATAGTGACCCTAAAGGACAGAGTAGAACTGCCCTATAGGGTTTCCAAGGCTGTAAATCTTTATGGAAGCAGACGGCCTCATCTTTCTCTGGCACAGCGCCTGGTGGGCTCAAACCACTAACCTTTCGTTTAGCAACTGAATGTTTTAACCACTGCACCACCAGGGCTCCTTCGATACACACCAAGAGCTGGTTATCACAGGGTGCAATAATATATTTGATAAAGGAATCCTGTCTGTCTTCCTGCCCGCCTCTCCACCCACAGGCCCATCTGTCTGATTCACCCACATATCCCTGCTCGGCAAGTGTTGTATGAATGAATGCACAGATGACAGCGCAGTCCAGAGTAGGTCTCTTGCTTCTCCCAGGCCCCAGTAGATTGGGAGTAAAAAGGAGGGTTTATTGGGAGGGAGGCTGAGCCCCCGGGGGGCCTGGGAGGATGGTGGGGACGTCCCAAACCACCCTGTTTTAAGTTGCACCCACTCCGCTCCCTTTCTGTCCCTCTTCCCTGCTTATTTTTCTCCCTCGTTGGCATTTTCAGAAGAGCCCTGATGGTGCCGTGGTTAAAGCGCTCGGCTGCCAACTGGAAGGTCAGTGGTTTGAACTCATCAGCCACTCCTCAGGAGAAAGATGTAGCAGTCTGCTTCCGTGAAGATTTACAGCCTTAGAAACCCTGCGGGGCAGTTCTACTTTGTCTTACAGGGTCGCTATGAGTGGGAATGACTCGTCGGCAATGGGTTTGGTTTTGGGTTTTTTGGCATTTTCAGCACCTCACATACTATGAGTTTGCCATATTTACATATTTATTTAATGTCTGTTTGCCCCAGCAGAATGTAAACTCCACAAGGGCGAAGATTCCTGACTGTTTTGTTAAATTTCCAGCGTCTGGAGCAGTGCCTGACACTTGGTAAAACCAAAGCGAAACCCGTTGCCGTTGAGTTGATTTCAACTCATAGCGACCCTATAGGACAGAGAAGAACTGCCCCATAGGATTTACAAGGAGCAGCTGGTGGATTCGAACTGTTGACCTTTTGGTTAACAGCCCTAGCACTTAACCACTGTGCCACCAGGGCTTAGATGCTCTATAAATACGTACATGTACCTGCAAGATAGGAGCCCTGGTGGTGAAGTGGTTAAAGCGATCGACTACTAACCTAAAGGTCCCTGGTTGGAGAACACTAGCTGCTCCGTGGGAGAAAGATGTGACAGTCTGCTTCCGTAGAGATTTACAGCCTTGGAAACCCCGTGGGGTCACTCTGAGTCAGAATCGACTCAAAGGCAGTGGGTTTTGGTTTTCGGACCCGCAGGGTGAATGAATGAATGAATATGTGGGCGGGGCTTTGGGTGGGGCGCTGACGGGCTCTGGGGCGTGGCCAAGTGTAGGATTGGGGCTCAGAGCCCAGGGTGGAGGGACTAGAGGCCGAGGTGAATCCGAGTTACGGAAGGGGCCAAATGTCAACTGTACTAGGAGAGGCGGGGCGCGGCGGAGAGCAAGGTCCGCCTGGAGGCGGGGCTAGACTAAGGGTGGAGCCTGGGGGCGGGGTCTTCCTGGGGCCGAGGCTGGGCACCTTAGGGGCGGGACCACTAGGGGGCGCAGGGCCAGGTGTGGGGATGGAAGGGGAGGTGGGACCTATACAATCTGGGGGGCGGGGCCTTCCTAAAGCGTGGCGAGTCAGGAGGAAGTGCCGGGCTTGGGCGGGGCCAAACAAAGGAGGACTAGAGGTTGGGGGCGGGGCGGGGCTGGGGCGGGACCACTCAGGGCCTAGAGTGGATTTGGGCGGGGTCAGGCCGGGGGCGGGGCCAGTCCGGGTTCTCCGCTCTCCCGGGTCTTAGAGCGCTCGGCTCCCACAGGTTCTGCTCGCGCCTCTCAGGCCGGTCCCTGGCTGGTCCCACCGCAAGGTGCACAGGGTCGGACGCCCCAGGCCAGGCGGCCGCACTGGAGTCCCGCCCCAGGCATTGCGCTCCTAGCCGGGCGGCTGCGGGGACCCCGGGAGGCTCAGCTCTGGGCCGAGCGGGCACCCGGGGCACTGCCCAGGGGCTGTGTCCCCAGAGGCTCCGAGGGCGAGGTGAGCGGGGCTGAGGGGCCTGTGTGTGTGCTTGTGTTTGTTTGTGTGCAAGCTTGTGTATGTGTGTGCATGTGTGCATGGGTGTGTGCGTGCTTGTGTGTGTGCATACACGTCTGTGCGCACCTGGGGATTGTGTGTGTGCTGGAGTTGGAATCCTTGTGGCGCAGTGATGAAACGTTCGGCTGCTAACTAAACGGTCGGCAGTTCAAATCCACCTGCCACTCTTGGAAACCCTATGGGGCAGTTCTACTCTGTCTTATGGGGTCGCTATAAGTGGAAATCGACTAGACGGCAACGGGTTTGGTTTTTGGATTTGTGTAGGTGTGTGTGCCGGGGAGGCTGGATGTGTGTGCAAAGTTGCGTGCTTGTGCAAGGGCGGTCCTGTGTGGGAGGGAAGCCGTGCATGTGTGTGACCGAGGTAGTGCGCGTGAAATTTGGTGAGCTCTACATGTGTATATTGGGGTGTCTTGGAGGAAAATGGAAAGAATACTTGGATGGGCTATAGCGTCAGGATGCCTGTGGGGTGCATGCGTAAAGTGAATTGTGGGAGGTTAGAAATTGCCGGGGTGTGTGTTTTCATGCAAGTGGCAGTGAGGGGTGCGTGTGGGGGCCCTCAGTGTGCAGAGGTGGGGAAGAAGAGATGTTTGGGGGTGCTGACTGCGCTGGTCTGGGGAGTGGGGAATGGACAGGACAGGTGTTTGGGGTCTGGCCCTGAGTAATTTGGGGACTACTTCTGGCTCCCTCACTTTGAGGGCTGGGAGATGTGGGGCCAGAGGGGGAGCCAGGGCAGTCCCTCACCCGGCACCCCCTCCCAGGTTCTGTGTGCTGACCCTGTCTGACCCCCTGGAGCCCCCTCCCAGGTTCTGCGTGCTGACCCTGCCGGGAAGGTCCCTCACCTGTCACCCCCTCCCAGGTCCTGCATGCTGAGCCTGCCTGACCCCGAAGCCCCTAGTGAACATGGTGCAGAAGTACCAGTCCCCGGTCCGTGTCTACAAGTACCCGTTCGAACTCGTCATGGCGGTGAGTGACCCCGATTCTCCGCTCTTGGGTGACGGTGGCGGGAGACAGAGTCCCAGATCAGAAGGAATTATTGAGCTGAGTCAGCCAGACCACCCTGCTCAGCTGATCTGGTGGGTCAGACTTCTAAGCAGTGACCCCTCCATTCACCCATTCCCCCCACCCGGCACCTTCCACCAGAATTTCTGGAATCCTTGTCCAGTGACCGAAACAGGTCCTTTCTTCCTTCTCCTGGTTAGAGCTTACTGTGCCCTCACCTGAGCCCTCCCTGACAGAAAACAAGCCACTGCTGTCGTTTTGTGTAATAGTAATAGTAGTAAATATATAAGAGCCGTGGCCTAGCGATTAAGCGTTCGGCCGCTAACAGAAAAGTTGGCGGTTTGAACGCACCAGCGGCTCCGAGGGCGTAAAGACCAGGCAATCTGCTTCTGTAAAGATTACAGCCTAGAAAATCCTGTGGGGCAGTCCTACTCTGTCATATAGAGTTGCTATGAGTTGGAACTGACTCGACCGCAATGGGGGTAAGCTGAGGCTTGGATAGGTGACGTGAGGGCCCCAGGTTTTGTGAGGAGGAAAGGTAGAGACAGAGCTCAGATCCACACTGAGGGGGAAGATGCGGGGCGGAGGTGCTCCCGAGCTTCGATTTTAACCACGACCACGAGGGTCCTCCCTCTGCTCCCAGACCCTTTCTCTTCCCCTTCAGGAGCAGAGAGAGGGTGAGTGGGCAGAGAAGTTCATGGGCGCTGCCATCCTGGGTGCATCCCCCATCTCCGTGCAGATGGGAAAGAGCAGCAAAGTGTGCGTTGGAGTCCTGGTTGCCGGATCTGAGGTCCACATGCTGTAGGGCACTGCTTCCTGGGCCCTAGGCAGCTCCCGAGGCATGGAGGGGGCTGGTGGTGAACCGACTTGGTGCTTCCAAGTGTGGGTGCCCCAATGGTGGTTTGGAAACAGATAAATTTTGAGTCGTTTTCCGGGTAGACACAGAGTGGCTCCGTGGTCTGCTCAGCACTGCACCGCAGGGCAGATGGGGGACAAGGATGACTCCCAAGGCTGTCAGCCCCTGAGTCAGTGGTCCTTGCACCCTGGGGCAGGCAGACGGGGGTTTCCTTCTCGGCTCCACCCTCTGTCCCTCAGAGCCTTGCTTCCCTTCTTGGGGGAAAACGGGGCAATGCTGCAGGGTTGTGCTGAGAGTTAAAAGCAATATTGGCATGGTGCCTCAGGCTCAGTGCCCGGCACACAGTAGGTGCTTATTAAATGCTATTGTCACTGTTATTACACACTGGTACAAGTTGCAGTTAAGGCGACCCCGTGTGTGTCAGAGCAGAACTGTGCTCCACAGGGTTTGCAATGGCTGATTTTCCAGAAGCAGATCACCGGGCCTTTCTTCTGAGGTGCCTCTGGGTGGACTCGAACCTTCAACATTTTGGTTAGCAGCTGAGTGCCATTAACTGTTTGCACCACCCACGGACTCCTATTATACCACACAGTCTTATAAATGATTGTATTCGAAGTGTTAGAAAATCCCTCCCCAGGCTGCTTAGCCCTGGCCTCCTGTCCAAGGACTTTGATGTCAGTTGGCGTCTGTATGTGTGTGTGTCCTGCCAACCACTTGTAGATCGTTCCAGGTAGCAGAGAGGCAGGGAGCATTGCGGTCACAAGTGCAGGTGCTAGAGCCCTTCTGCCTGGGGTCGTATCCCAGCTTCAAAATGGACTAGCCAGGTGATCTTGGGTAAGGTCCTCAATCTCTCTGAGCCTCTATGCTCTTCTCTGTAAAATGGGCATCACAGTGGTTTCCAAATCAGAGGTCGTGCTATGGATTCAACAAGTCAATATATGTAAAGCTTCCAGCGTAGGGTTCGGCACAGATCAAGTGTTGAATAAGTTTGAGCTGTTGCTGTTACTGATGTCGCCTGTGGCTATTCGAGTTTTCTTCATTTGTAAAGGCAGTGGGGCGCCAGGAGGTGAGGAAGAGACTGGGGAGGTGGAGTCAGAAGCTTTGGGTCCCAGCCACTGCTCTGCCACACTCTGGCTGTGTCTTTGGGAAATCATTGAGCTTCTTTGAGCCTCAGTTTCTTCGTCTATGGAATGGGCTGCTTACACAAACCGCTTAGGGTTGTCATGAGGAATAAGGTGATTGTGTGTGTGTGTGTGTGTGTGTGTGTGTGTGTGTGTGTGTGTGTGTGTGTGTGTGTGGTCCAGCCCAGGGCATGGTCCGTCGTAAACAGACAATAAGTGGTTGCTGTTGTCAGTTGCCCTGAAGTCGGCTCTGACTCATGGAGACCCCAGGTACAACACAACAGAACATTGCCCGGTCCTGCGCCATCTTCGTGATCATTGGTCTGCTCGAGTCCATTGCTGTGGCCACTGTGTATTCTGAGTGCCTTCTAGCCTAGGGGGCGCATGTTCTAGCACCATATCATACAGTATTCTGTTGTGATCCATAGGGTTTTCACTGACAAATTTTCAGAAGTAGATCGCCAGGCCTTTCTTCCTAGTCTGTCCTGGTCTGGACACTCTGCTGAAACCTGTCCACCATGGGTGACCCTGCTGGTATTTGAAATACCAGTGGCATAACGGCCAGCATCAAGGCAACACACAAGCCACTATAGTACAGTAGCTAAATATAAATAATTGTCCTCTGTTTAAAGTTCTTGGCAGCTCACATATTCTAAGACCCTAGGATTCATTCATCCGACAGAAGAGAGACATGTCCCCACCCTCTGGAACAGGCAACCCAGGAATCCGTAGTTCTCTGTCAAGAAGCAGATAAATAAATCCACATGACCACAGAATGGAAAACTAACTACTGCGCAGGCTTGATACTGAGTTGTAAACTGAATTTAATATGTTTAAGGTTCTCAAAAATACTGATAATCTTTGCACTCTAAAATAAAACCCACCCACTAACAGAGCACTTAAGACTGTATTAATAGGACTACTAATGTACCCTCTTTCCTTGATTGGAATATGTTAAACATATTTTGTAAGCTTCGCGGGTCCGTAGCTGAAGGAAGGGCTCAGTTTCCTCACCTCGCTGTTAACAGTCCCTGGGTGTTGACGCACAGGTAGTCTCTGAGTTACAATGAACTCTAGTTACCACGAACCACACTTACGACTGTCTTTTTTTTTTTTTCCACATCTTGTCATTAGTAATATGTATTACTTACAATGTTAAAATGTATCTGTAAATTTATGTGTAAAGTTTCCAATTCCCAAAGACAAATAAAGACGAGATTTATAAAGATACTGATAATTAAAGTCAATAATAATGAAAACTAAAAAAAAAAAGCTAAAAAAAACCCAGGTATTCAACTTAAGTCAGAATACATCTGAGCCATTGGAACAGAACCTTGTTGTAACTCGGGGACTACCTGTATAGAAGCTGGTGGCTTTAGTGAGGAAACAAGGTTTTCATATATGTATTATCTGCATCTGCGCTAAGTTATTTGTATTTTTCAAAGGAACCACCACGATCATGTTGTCTTATCTTCCATACAGTGCTTGTCTGCAAAATGACCCCAAACCACAGCAGCAAGGCCCACAAAGCCACTTGCCGACTGTTTACAAACCATCATTGTCCCCCAAATAGCTGCGTAACTCAACAGAAGTTGTGCTCTATACAAGCACAAAAGGGGTTTTCTGCACTTAATGTCTGCCTTTGTTTCTCAGCTAAACACTTGTCCTCAGTGTGAGGCAGATGCCAGGGAAGGCGGATGAACTAAGCTATTTTCTCTGCATCCCAGCAGCCAGATGAGCTTGCACTTGGTTTTTCTGTTTCAACAAAACCGACCTAAGCGTCCAAGCGGCCCTTGCCTCTTCAAAACTCCGCCAGCGACAACCAGACAGTCTGAAACTGGGCTCATGGAATTGGCTGTAAAATGGCACTCTGAAGCAACATCTGTAGAACCAGGTTAAAAATTTTAAAAAATATTTTTTTTCTCTTTTACTTAAAAAAAAAATCTCTCTAATCTATGAATGGGTGTCTCTCTCCTTGGGCCAAATCCCTTGACATGAATTCTGCCTCCAATGACTAGATTCCAGGAGATCTTTGCTTTCTTCTTTCTTGATAGCAGTCCGTGTTATTGGGTTCCAAACAAGGAGCTTGTATTATCCTTATAAACAGAGAAAAACATTGAAACAATGGCGGCAGCTGCGGTACCCAAGGGTGGAGCAGGTCCTTGGTGCCTTTGATGGTCGTGGATCCCAGGAGGTGGTGGTGGGACTGTGTGGAGGTCCGTGGGTGTAGAACACAAAGGACACATCTTGGACTGTGGGGTCAGATCCATTTGGTTCTGAAGGCCCCTCTCGGGTCAGCCCATTGTCTCTTGATTATATGACAGGGAGGCAGTTGTGGTTCCGTGGTGGAATTCTCACCTCTCATTGGTGCAAAGGAATTAAGGATTTGGCCGGGAGCAGGGGCCCAGCCTTGTGGGTCTGGCTGTTACCCACTACCCGTTGGGAAGTTGGCTGCCATCCAGTCAGCCCCTGACTCATAGCAGCTCCGTGCACAACTGAACTAAATGCTGCCTGGTCCTGAGCCATTCGCATAATCAGTTGTGGATTGGACAGTTGTGATCCATTGGGTTTTCATTGGCTGATTGTGGGAAGTAGATTTCCAGGCCTTTTTTCCTAGTCTCAGTCTGGAAGCTCTGCTGAAACCTGTTCGGCATCATAACAACACGAAAGCCTCCACAGACAGGGGCGGTAGCTGCCCATGAGGTGCACTGGCTGAGGATCGAACCCAGGTCACACACACGACTGGTTTCTTGCACTCAGCATAATGGTTCCGAGGTTCATCCACACTGTAGCATGCATCAGGACTTCATTCCTTTTTATGGCTGAATAATATTCCATTGTACGACCGTACCACATTGTATTTCTCCATTCGTGGATGAATGGACATTTGAAGATTGTTGCCATCTTTTTGCTATTATGAATAGTGTTGCTATGAATATTTGCATGGACTTGTGTTTTCATTTATCTTGGGCATATGCTTAGGAATG